TCATTAGTAGAAATCTTCCACTAATATATTTCTATACAGATTTAAAATTTATTGTGTCCTTTTACCTATATATTTGGTAAAGCAGTTATGGTCACTAATATGGCAATTTTTTTCAAATATTGGCATGCACTTCAGGATCATAAAATTGTATAAACCTTTTTGCATCAGATTCAGTTTTCTTACCTTGTGCTTTCCACCGTCAAATATTCTACGCATCTAACTCTGATCTTATTTTGCATAAAGATCACCTTTATTTTGCCCTGGCCTTTAGTACTACTATTTCTAGTCAAATCTCAAAAAACAAGATGATCAAGGGCTAGCTGACCTTGTAAACTACAGGATCATCTCTGCAGAGCTTCTTCACCATACCACCCCCTTACCATACCTCCCTCTTTGATCTTCCTTCTCTGTGACCTGTTCAACTTCCCCCTGGTGATAATCATTCTCCATTCCCCTCATTCTTTATCAGTGAAAACCAGACTTAGCTCCTCTTAACCAAGTATTGAAGATCCTGAGTACTAGACTGTATGTAGTCTCTGAATTGTTTTCAGTAACTGTAGTCATTTGGGTTTCTTCAGTTAGCCCCATAAAGACATTGCTGCCTGCCCAGCTGGTGCCTGAAAATGGGGGTAGAAATCATCCTATAAAATATACAGTATAAAATTATTTTCTCTAGTGTGTCATCATTTGGGGCAATTCAGAAATTTTCTAGTCCAGAACTGCCACATAATCAAGTAACTTATGCATTATTTAGGTTACAAAAGTAATTAAACAATTATATTTAGAAGGTGCTAACTAGTTTTATACTAACTTTATGTGCGTATCTTAGGAAATACTACATTAAAATATATAATTAGAAAGAGATCTTACAATCATCAGCTGTATTTATTCACTGCGTATTTTAGTTGATTGCCATGTCAAAAAAAAAAAAATAAAAAACAAACAAACAAAAAAACCCTACCAAAACCCAAAAGCATTGCCAAGTGGATTAGCTACCTAAATAGATACTCTTGGAGGGGAGACCTCAATTGCTGCTGCAGAAGTTGATCTCATTTACTGAGAAATGACTGCAACACTCATGGCCAACATTTTTAATCAATCACAGTGTTCTTTTCTGAGGAGCACATGGTAGCCTCAGAATCCTTTTTCACACAGTGCTTCCAAGGCAGCCACTACCAATCAATCATTAACACTGGCCTGAGAAATAAACCAGTTTCTCTGCCTTTCTCTGCCTTTCCCTGCGTAGATGCTGGTTGTTTTTAGGGACCCAGTGTCTGCAAGGCATAGTGGTTACCACTAGATGGCACTAGTGCTTTGTCAAGAGAGTCCTTAAGGGCCAGGTGTGTCTCTAATCTGTTCTATTTGAGGCGTTTACACACCAAATACCCCAGGTTGTTTTTAACCACTCACAGCAGCTGTTGACTTACTTTCTCAGTCCAGCGTCCTATTAGTGAAAACTTATCCCTGTACCCATGGACTTGATGTTCAAAAACTAGAAATCTAAGGAAGAAAATATAAGGTCATATTCTTGTCTTGCCTTGTTGCCAGAGGCCATTTTTGTCCTTTGATGTCTGCAATACCGTGTTTCCCTTTTAGTGTTGCTTCCAGGAAGATGCTTTTCCTAATTCTTTTTTTTTTCTCTTAGTCAATTCTTATGAGTCTTAGTTTCCTCATTGATAAAGAGGGGTTAAAAATACACATCCTAGGAGAGTTGTTGTAAAGGTTAAAAGTGATTTACTTAAAATATTGTATTTTTAAATATATATGGATTTTTTATTTTTTATTTATTTGTTTATTTTTTAAAGATTTTATTTATTTGACAGAGAGAGACACAGCAAGAGAGGGAACACAAGCAGGGGGAGTGGGAGAGGGAGAAGCAGGCTTCCCGCTGAGCGGGAAGCCCAATGTGGGGCTCGATCCCAGGACCCTGGGATCATGACCTGGGCTGAAGGCAGACGCTTAATGACTGAGTCACCCAGGCACCCGTGGATTTTTTTTTTAGCATTTTAATGGCATCATTGCCAGATTTTGGCTGTTACGGGCACACTATTTACTTTTTTTAAATGTAAGACAAAGTTTAGGAACTACCTTTTCTTTATTTTTGTTAAGCTGAAAAATTCCACCACTGACTCGTCAATAACTTAGTATTCTTTGCCCATGTCCTGATCTGAGTTCAGGCGTAGGTCCCCATTTGTATTTATGATTGTAAAAAACTTTTATTTGGGTTCAGCTCCCCTCAAAGGGCTAAACTCTTCAACACTTTGTCCTCTTGGAGACTGTTGAAGCTCTGACAGCCCAGCTCTTAGGGTAACATTTGAGTGCGTATGGTGCTGCTATTATTTTCTACACTCAGTTTTTATTTTTAGGTATAAAACTAGTTCTCCCTTTTCTGTACTGCCAGGGTGCTTTGCCTTCACCAGATTATTATTGGTTTACAGATCCATCTACCTTCTTAACTTCATGCTTTCTCTAATCTTTCTATGTGCTAAGCACATGGTAGGCACGGTCACTCGTGTTTACTCCGTATCACTGTTCATTAATGAAACACGAGGCCCTAGAAGAGCAAGACAATGAATTATCTGTGGCCTTGGTGTTTCTCTGTTGTTACAGAGCTCTTCATCAGTTTGAGGCGTTAAGCCTTAATTGGAACTTTAAGTACAGTGAATAAATTGAGATGATTGTGAATTCCAAAGATAATGTTTCCATTTCACATGCCCCAGTCTCCTGTTCTCTCTACCGACACTGTAATCAAGGCCCAGGGTCTTATTTAAGCTAACAAATAATTATCCTTCATTTCATAAGTAGTATGTAACTTGACCTTAAAAGACTGCGTAACTTGACAAGATGGCAATGAATCTAGCCACCAGCTGTGTCTACCTTCACACTGTCCTGGTCCCTGTGAATAGGAGCTGATTTTGGAAGAGACTTGGGGAGTCCTTGCCTCACACTTCCCTCTCTTATCTGGAATGTATCGGTGATTTCAGGCCATGGAACTGCATGGTCTTGCACAAATTTTGATTCCTTTTGGGTTCTGAATCCATTTAAAATCTGCAGTTTTTGCTTGCAGACCACAAGCTATTTAGACATACTTAACATTTTCTGAGATGTACTCATTGCTTATCTCATCTTTGAGTACTGCTAAAATTGGATAAAAACAAAACCTGAATATGAGATGTGGATAATATATGTGAGATTGTTGGGAAATGGATAATGTATTTAAAATATTATGGGTAATACAAATGGACTAATTTGATTTTAAAAAAAGAACATTTCTTTGAGCTTGGAGCGGCTAAGAATTACTTAAGCATGAAAACAGTGGAAAGAGCATCAGGAGAAAATGTTAGATTTAAATTAATACACAAATTAAAAAGCTTTACTGTGTTGAAAACCAAGGTATTGGGTTAAAAAGTATATGTGTGTGGCAGACAAAGGTGTGATGTTTTTAATGTATTAAGAACTCCTCCTTTGGACCAATAATACGGCACACTAAAATAAAAGCAGTATTATAATTATTATTAACAATAATGCTAATTTTAAAAAAGAAATAAAATGACTCAAGCATGAAAATTTTTCACTTTCACTAAGGATACAAATGCAAATTAAAATAAAAAGTATTATTTTCTGTTATGAATGGAGTGTTGGGAATAAAATTTTCATGGAGCGGTGGTAGGAATGTATTTCTTTGGTATGGAGCCAGAGTGCTTGTCTCATTTGGCATACTTAGCCACTAGCCCCTCCTGGCAGAAGGCTTGGGGATCAATGCTACAGGGCTGAGCTGGAAGTTCTCCTGCTTGTGGCAGTCAGGAATGTGTCATTGCCTGCATCACTCTTCTGGAAAACTCTTTGGAGAAGATACTCCACAGTCAGGTGTTTTAGCTGTAGGCGTGCAGTTGGTTGCATTACTGGCCCTAAGATAACATAGTGAGCAGGCTGTCCTTTCTCAAAACGAATCAGGTCTGGCCAGTGACAACTGCATGTGTATATTGGAGGATGGTTGAGGGTTTTAAAGGCTTTCTTTTGAGGAAGTCTCTCTGAAGAGATTGCCAGGATTTCAGCCTTGATGATAAGTTTTAAATTATAAGTTTACTGTGGTATTATGAAATCTGAGAGAAATTTCATAAAGCTGTGCTCAGTAGCCTCAACTGTTGACAAATGATTCTTGATGTTTAGTTTGGTACAAGATGCAGGGAATATAGGTCTACTTCCTTTATTCAAACTCAGTAAATGGTTTGGGACAATTAATTTCCAATTGTTTCCCAGTAGAGCAGATTTACTTGTATATTAATGAGGCACAGGTGTTAGGCCCCTGGTGTCTGCGCGCCTGGGAGGCATATTTCAGTTGTTTATCTGCTCAGCCATAGGTACTGCAAGGTACTCAAGCTTGCCTTTAACAGTTTTTACAGTGAGGCTTTTTAATTTTTTGATGTTTTTTTCAAATTTGCCTGCACCTGTTAAAATTTTAAAACTGATCATGTAGAAAGAAGTTGCAGAGATTCCAATAGGAAATAGCACTAAAAGTTAAAGTAGTCTTCTATTATATTTAACACCCCAGCCTGACACTAAAGAGAAATGGGTTCATTTAAACAGATATTTCATGTGAGAAGCCAGTATAATCAACGGTACCCTTTTTGTTGTGTATTTTTGGAGCAGGTATGTCTTTGTCAATGGCTAAAGCAGTCATGTATTTATATTAATATTCATTTTTTTTCTTGTTTCACTGAACTGCACTACCAACATTTTAGAGGAAATGGAATAGCCTCCATAGACATTATGAATTTCAGTAGCTGGCATAATTACAGCGATCTACATATTCATTAAATCTACAGAAGAACTGTGTCCAAAAAGACAGCCATGTGTTCAGAAACAGTACACAACTAAATATATACGTTTTAAAAGTTGCATTTCTTAGACTTTATTTAAAATTAATTTCCTGTTAGCACTCCTCTCCAAGCAGAGAATTTTAACAAAAGGATCCCTATGCTTTGGTTTCTTGCATATAGGGAAGAATGGGAAGAACTATTTGTAAACAACAATTACTTGGCAACAATAAGGCAGAAGGGGATTAATGGGCAGCTGAGAAGCAGCAGGTTCCGCAGCATTTGCTGGAAGGTAAGAAGAAAATATTTATTTACAGTTTGTGGTTGCAGTATATCAACACATTACCTGATGCCCTGGGAGATTACCCATGCAGGGGATCACTGAATTTTCCAGGAGACTTCACTCTCGATTTTTTGGCCATCCAAGTTTATCTTTCATAGGACATTTACTAATAAGGTTGAACCACCTTAGTCCCGAGTAACTGGTGATGGTAAAGGAGTCATTTGAAATAGCTGTTCTTTCATCTCATTTGATGGAGCAGAATTCAAAGCAACACCTTTACATCCCCCAGAGGCTTCTGCAGAAATCCTTGAAGCCGGGCAGGAGCAGAGTGGGATTTACTTCCAGCTTCCCATTGTATCAAGTGCAGCCATTTAGTCACCCCCCTTTTTGATTCAGAAACAGCAGATGGAAAAGATTTTTCTTTTTTTTTTTTTACTGGAAACAAAGTGAAGGGCAGCAGGAAAGAGAAGTGGAAGAAAATTAGGCCAGTCTCCTAAGAGAAAGGGCCATTGATTACCAAAACTAGTGATAATCTGCAGTTATCTTTTTTTAATTGCCTGGAAATATTGTCCCTTTTTGTTCTCTCAAAATGAATTAATTGAGGTTTAGACTTTTTTCTGAAATGACTCCTGTTGAAAGTTTTTTAGGTTTTATCTGCATAAACTGAGCATACAGAGTCTGTGAAAGTAAAGACAGTAAGAAACACATGATGCATTAGAGTTTTAGATTTAGTAATTTAAATTTAATAATTAAAATACGTTTTTTCTGTTAGATGCAGGCAGTAAAGGCAGGGGACCTGCTGCTAGAATATTTGTATACAAATATTTGTGCCCCACCCCCATTCCTTGTTGTTTAACTTTTAGTATCCTTCTTTTGCTAAAAATAAACTCAAATCCAGATTTATTTTAATGTTGTATTAAATTAAATGAAATAAAATTTGTCTTTTTAAGAATGCTTGTTATTTTCATAAGCTGGTTGCCAGTTGTAAATTACATTTCTGCCTTAAAAGGAATGACTTCACTTCTCAAGCCGTGCCCTCAGGTTGTTCTTTTCCGTCCTTTACCTGCTGGTTTTAAGACAAATCTTAAACCTTGAAATTAATCATTGGACTTTGTGTCTGTCAATATGCCATTAATATAAGACTGTAAAATGGGAATTATACTTGAGCCTCAGTGCATTCTTGTTCATTTTTAATATAAATCTGGAGGGGAGCTTGATTCAGTTTTGTGGTGTAGCTTTTGGGATCTTGTTCTTTTGGCTTCCGTTCACTTTTTGAATTGTCCAAATATATATAAACATTCCCAAATATAATTTATTGGGAACTGGAATGCTATGAATATGAAATACCATGAATATGAATACCTCTCGCAATATTCAATATGAGTATCTCTTTCAGGTGATTCTGTTTGACAAATAGTTTTATATGTTGCTTGTTAGGATTTTTACAAAAGTTTCCTTTTTTCTTTTTTTTTTCCTTGACAGCTATTTCTTTGTGTCCTTCCTCAAGATAAAAGTCAGTGGATAAGTAGAATTAAAGAATTAAGAGCATGGTATAGCAACGTTAAAGAAATAGTAAGTTGTACTTTAATTAATGTAATTGTTTTCTTATGTATGCTTTAAAGTCCAGTAACCTCTGATCTTTGTGTGTGTTTCTTTCTTTCCTTGCCAGCACATCACAAACCCGAGGAAGGTTGTTGGCCAGCAAGATTTGATGATCAATAATCCCCTTTCACAGGATGAAGGGGTAAAGTTCATCTTTATTCATATCTCAGCTTCTTTTGCCCGTAAGAATATGCTTATGAGACTAGTTATCAATCACAATGAAAGCAGTGTTATTTCATGCCAGTTAGTTTTTTTTTACTCCATATATTATGCAACCTAAAACCTGATGGAAATTATTCCATGCTATATTCATCCTGTGTTGTAGGAGGTTTATGATCTATTTCTGTGGAATGGCACTATGGAGAAGTCCCAGGGGACCATAAGAACTCAGGGTAAAAGAGAAGAGCATAAACAGGAGGATAGAACTGTTTTATCAAGGTTGTAGTGGGCAGTGAGGAGGCTAGGAAACCTCCCTTTATGATAAAAATAGATAAGCGCTCACTTGGTGGGACTAACTTCCAAGAAGAAAAGTGACTGTTTGTAGTGAGTCTATTAAGTTTTTAAAGATATTGAAAAAGATCTGCCTATCCCTACTGATATTCCAGCAAAGACTAATAAGAATAATTACTACTTTAGAGGTGTTGTATAACTTCTTCAATTGCTGCTCTAATTCCTGTTTCCCTGCTAACAGAAATTATTTTTCAGCTAATATATAATATTAGCATTTCTTTTTTTACCTGATACATATAGTTGTTATGATATAGTCAATAGTAATAGCAGCACAGAATATTAAGTAAATTTTAAAACTTTGCTTAAATTCACATTTTAAAAAGTATCTAAAAATCTGTTTGATCATAAAAACCAAGCTTTGCAGAAAACATCATATGTCTAGCACTTTGGGAATTCAGATCAGGTTCATGTTGAGACCAGTTGGCCCATGGCCCTGCTGTAATCCAAGTAGACCTCTTTGTTGTTTGTAAGGGAAGTAGTGGATGTAGAACAGCAAAACTATCATTCACTTTATAAGATAATACAAAAATTTAAAATATATACAGTATTATTACTGGAAAAATTGATGTTAGTATAAGGATATGTTTCTGGTATTAAACTAGTTTTTAATAAAAATTATTCCAATTTCAGGTTTCCTTTCCACAATGTGAAACGATACCTCAGAGAAGGATAAATTTGATCAGTTAAATTATTAAATTGAGATCATAAAAGTCAAGCAAAGGTGTAAGATTATCTTAAATAGGTTGTTTTCCTTATTTCAGAGTCTTTGGAACAAATTTTTTCAAGATAAAGAACTGCGATCAATGATTGAACAAGATGTCAAAAGAACGTACGTAGAACTTTTAGTAATTCAAATTAGTGTTATCTCTTTGTAATTGTAGTAAAATACAAAATCCATAGAGGAGTTTTAATTGAATGCAGTATTTGCTTTGTATTAGTAACAAAGTTATTGTGGCCATTTTTGATAGCAACAATTATTTTCTATTCTTAAAATATAGATTCCTGTTTTCCCTTTTCAACATAAGTTGTAGTACTGATAATCTTAATATTTAATCCATTTTTCAGTTTTCAACAGTGATTGAAAATCACGTGCTTCTGATTAAGGTTATATTATGTGGTCATAATATTGGTATTGCTAAAAAAATTGTCTCTTGCTTCACACCTTTGAATCTCTTTCTAACCAAATTACTTTTTAAATGACAACTATTATTTTTACCCTCCTCATTTCTGTCTCTCTCAAAGTCATTCAGGTTTGCAAACAACCTCTTCTCTGCATCTACTTAGTATTTACCATGTGAAAGAGTTGTTTACTTAGCTCATGGTTAGTTAATATCCATGACTTTAATATATTGGGCTCCATCTTTCTGGCTCATGTAGTGAGAAGTACATGGAATTTGTATGCGAAAGTCCTAGGATAATTTCTAGCAACATATGCTATAATCTTAAGCATTTTACTTTTCAATGAACATCTTTCCTCAGTGTCCTTTTCTGTAAAATGGGGATAATAGTTAACCTCAAAGGATTGCTGTATATTAATAAGTGTACATTTTAATAGTAGTATTTAAATATGTTTGCACTTTTTTTCTAAAGATTTATTTATTCATCCTAGAGAAAGAGAGAGAGTGAGCATAATATAATGATATAATATTATAAGCAGGGGAGAGGGACAAAGGGAAAGGGAGAGAGAATCTCAAGTGGACTCTATGCTGAGCATGGAGCCCAACATGGAGCTCGATCTCATGACCCTGAGATCACAGCCCTACATCATGACTGGAGCCAAAACCAAGTCGGACTCTTAACCTACTGTACCACCCAGGCGCCCCTAGATATGTTAACACTTTAAGCTGTAAACAGTTACATAAGTGTTAGTAAATTTAATCATTGGATCTAGGATGGACCATGTATTTGCAGAGTCATGGCTATCCCTAGTGCCTTTTTCCAGGTTCTTCTGCAGCTTCGCCTGTCTGCCCCACCGCTAGTTCAACTCCTGCTAGACCTGTCACAAGGTCAAGGCCTCTGGCTCTCTGAGATCCATCTCTTTCCAGGTCCCAAACACTGAATAATCAGATGACATAGACTGCTATTAAGGTTATACTACATATTGAACAAATCACATTTTCTATTTTAAAATGAAAATCAGTGGCGGGGTGCCTGGCTGACTGAGTCGGTAGAGCGTGTGACTTTTAATCTTACGGTTGTGAGCTCAAGCCCCACATTGGGCCTAGAGCTTACTTTAAAAAAAAGAAAGAAAGAGAGAGAGAGAGAGGAGAGAGAGAGAAAGGAGAGAGAGAGAGAGAGAAATAAATAAAGAAAGAAGGAAAGAAAGAAAGAAAGAAAAGAAAGAAAGCAGTGGAATCATGGGTTCAGAGTACAACAGAATTGTATGTAACTGGCAATGGCGGCAGGTTGGGGGGAGGGAGGTATGGGATCATTTTGATGAGCTGAGTTATCTAGGTAACCCAAGAGTAACCAATTATAGGGAAACTACTCTCAGAGGCGTCAGTGCTTGACTTCTAGTATATAGTTGCAGAAAGTAGAATGCCATTGTATTGGTGCCCAGGAGGCACTCAAATATTTGTTGGAAAAAACAAAAAACAATTTCCTCACCAATCACTTAAGTAACTGCATAATCAGTGGCAGTAAAACAGGCCTCTTAAAAACAAAATGCATGGTATATATTGCTAACCAAACGGTAAAGGTATCCTTTAAAAAAAAAAAAATTGGTAGGCAGTTATCTTAGAAAATTTGGCTAATAAGAAGGATTATGATTAATCTCTCTACTGTTATCAAATGAAAATAGAGACACCCTGGCACTGGAGTGGAGTCACATACTCAGAGGCCCTGTGGACCAGACTGGTTGAAAGACAAAGCAAACAAGAGAAGGGGAAAATAAAACTCAGACAGGCAAACCTCATAGGAAGTGGCATTGAGAGCCCATTGATTATTTTGGTTACTTAACACAAACATTTATGCTTTGCTGGGTGAGAAAGTGTTATTTCGTGAAAAGCGTATTTGGTTTTATATTTTCTATGCATTTTTCATATATTTAAAATGTGTGTGTGCATGTGGTGTGTACAACACATAGATGGCTAACTTATTCTCTTACAGTTGTCTCCACTGGTACATTTTAATTCAGTTGGCAAACCTGAGATTCAGGGATGGCAGTTAGGAGACCCTATAGTTCATAGCATAGATGGAGGAGGTTGCATCTTCTTCCCCAGAAAGCTCTTCCATGGCTCTCCTCCACATTTAGAGAAAGTCTCCTTGCCATCTCTATATAAATTTTGTGGCAGGTAGCTTAGCTTGTAAGGTAAGACTATCAATCTTTTAAGCCACGAAATCGCCTAATGATAAAAGCTGAATAGCTTGACTAATTTTACTACTTTAGGTAATACATTCTCTTTATAAGGTACTACATGATCTAAAATCCATGGTTTTCAATCCAGTCTGTAAGGCATCTCGTGATGCAGTAGGAGAAAAGAAGAAATACAGCTCAACGAATGTTACACAGTGTTACTCATTTACTAGCATCTGTGATAAGAATTTTGTTTTTTACTGTACGTTTATTGAATGTCTACTGTGTCCCAGCCTTATCCTTTGCATTGTGGGAACAGAGTGGTGAATAAGACAGACAAGGGCCTGCTTTCATGGGATACACATTTTAGTGTCAGGGGTGGTGAGGGGAGTGAGATAGTCAGCACGTATAGATAAAGAAGATAATTATAAAGGATGGTAATTGCTGTGAAGAAATAAAGCAGGGTGATAGGATAGTTAGAGGGATGGCAGTTTTAGGAACAGTGATTAGAAAAGGCATCTCTGAGAAGATGACATTTAAGCTGAGATGTGAAAAATTTTAAAAAGCCAGCCATGTGAAGATCTAGGGAAAGAGCATTCCAGGCAGAGGGAACAGCTAGTGCAAAGTCCCTCAGTGAAAATAAGCTGGGTGTTTTGAGAAACCGAAGGGGGGCAGGTGTGGCGGGAAGTAAGTGATTTAAGTAGGGAAATTTGGGAGAGAGCAGGTGCCAGACAAGCAGTCCTGTAGGCCAAAGTAGGGAGTTGGGGTTTTATTCCAGTTGCAATGGGAAGCCATTGGGGGATATTGAGTAGGGCTGTGATATCTAAAAAGATCATTCTGGCTGCTGTGCAGTGGGGTGGGTAGAGGTGAAGATGGAATCTGGGAAAGTAGGAGTCTTGTGGTATGATTCCACATTAAGTAATGTTAGTGACCTAGATGAAAGATGTAGTAATGAAGATGGTTAGGAGTAGATAGGTTGAGGATGTGCATTTTCTATTTTTAAATATTAAGTATAAGAGGTCATTATATGTAGTTTTCTCACATTCGTTAGTTCTCTTCCACTTTTGCTGCCCTGTTTGTAGGTCTTTTTTTTTTTTTTTTTTGCCTCCTGTCTAGAGTCTCTCACTTGTTTAATTGTTTTCTTCAGATCTGTTCTCTTTCTCCTCTAGTCGAATCCATGTGTTGTTACAGCCTTATTTTCAGAAAGCACATCTAGTCATGCTACTTGCCTAGTCTAAAGCCTTCTCTGACTCTCTGGTCTGCCGAAGAATGGATTTACCCAGACCCCTAACACACACATGGTTCCCTTTTAGAGTTTTCCAGCTCTCTTTCTGTTACTGACATCTAGTTTAACTCCACTGCAGTCTGAGAGCATGATTTCTCATCTGCCAAATTGGTTTGGGTGTGTTTTGCGGTCCAGAACATGGTATATCTTGGTGAAGGTTCCATGTGAGCTTGAGAAGAATGTGTACTCTGCTGTTGTTGGTTGAAGAAGTACATAGGTCTCAGTATATTCAGTAGATTGATGATGTTGAGTTCACCTGTATCCTTCTAATTTTCTGCCTGTCAGATCTGTCCATTTCTGATAGACAGTTATTGAACTTGCCAACCATGATAGTGGATTTTAAAAGTTCTCATTGCCATTTTATTAGTTTTTGCTTCACACGGTTTGATGCTCTGTTGTTAGGTGTATATATGTTAAGGATTGATACGTCTTCTTGGAGAATTGACCCCTTTATCATTATGTAATGCCCTTTTAATTAGGGTCAGCCTGGTGTATTTTTCTCCATTCATTTACTTCTAATCTAAATATGTCTTTGTATTTAGAGTAGGTTCCTTGTAAGTAATATATAGTTGGGTTGTGTTTTTGATCCACTCTGACAATCTCTGTCTTTTAGTTGGTGCATTTAGACCATTGACATTTAAAATGATTATTGATACAGTTGGATTATTGTCTATCATATTTGTTACTCTTTTCTGTTTGTTACCTTGTTCTTCGTTTCTATTATTGTCTTCCACCCTTTTTCAGCCTTTTGTAGTTTTAATTAAGCATTTTATATTATTTCATTTTCTTTCCTTTCTCAGCATACCAGTTATACTATGTTTACTTTTTTTTAGTGATTGCCTTAAATTTTACAATAGACATTTTAGGTAATCCATATCCACTTTCAAATAACACTATACCACTTCATTGATAGTGTGAGTACTTTATAATAACAAAGTCATCCAAACTCCTTCCTCCCATCCTGTGTCATTGCTGTTATTCATTTCACTTATATATGAGCATATATATATCTATGTATGTTTGCACGTATACATACATATAAGCACACATAGTTGAGTACATTGTTGGTATTATTTTAAACAACTGGTATCTGTTATATCAATTGACAGTAAGAAAAATAAGTTTTTATTTTGTTGCACTTATTCCTTCTTATGTTTTTCCTTTATGTAGATCACAGTTTCTAACCTATATTATTTTCCTGTAAATCACTTCTTGTGAAGCAGGTCTACTGACAACAAATTCCCTCAAT